CCATTTCTTTTAGTTCTTAAGAACTAATCCTTTAAAATGTTGTTGACCACTGTGACCTCTAAGGTAGGTTGAGGTCATTTTCATTCGCAAACTTTGGTGAGCTCTATCCCAGGAAGTCACCAGCCAAATATTATAATTTTATGCCTTTTAATTCTTCAGAAGAAGTAGTTTGAACCGTTTGACATATTTGAACGCTGTAACCTTGAAAATAAGTAAATGTCATTTTCATTCGCAATTTTTTTTTGACTCTTTCCCAGGAAATAACCAGTCAAATATTAAGGTTCTATACCTTCCAGTTCTTCAGAAGAAGTTGTTCTAAGCATTAGACATATCTGACCCATGTGACCTTGAAAGTAGGTCAAGGTCATTTTCATTCTCAAACCTTGTTGGGCTCTTTCCCAGGAAGCTACAAGCCAAATATTTAGGTTCTATAACTTTCAGTTCTTCATAAGAAGTCGTTTTAAGTATTAGACATATCTGACTCATGTGACCTTGAAAGTAAATCAAGGTCATTTTTGTTTTCAAACTTTGTCGGGGTCTATCCCAGGAAGCCACCAGCCAAATATAAAGATTCTATACCTTCCAGTTCTTCAGAAGAAGTCGTTTGAAGTGTTTAATACATTTGACCCCTGTGACCTTGAAAGAAGGTCAAGGTCATTTTCATCTACAAACTTTGTCGGGTTCTATCCCAGGAAGCCATCAATCAAATATAAAGATTCTATACCGTTCAGTTCTTCAGAAGAAGTCGTTTGAAGCATTTGACATATTTGACCCCTGTGACCTTGAAAGTAGGTCAAGGTCATTTTAGTTCTCAAACTTTGTCGGGCTCCTACCAACAAAGCTTTCAGCCAAATATCATGACTCTAGGCCTGTCCGTTCTTCAGAAAAAGTTGTTTAAAGGAAAAGTTGACGGATGGACGGACGACAGACGCCGCACCATGACATAAGCTCACTTGCAAGTGAGCTTAAATTTGTGCCCCACCCCTTGTTCAATTTTATTGGCAACAAATATGTTTAAAGCTAATTAAATTTAAATTCTGAATATTGGCAAGTGTGCAATTAACTTATGATGATGAATAATTACTGTTCAATAAGTTTGAATACGGACTTAGAAATCATATTACTTGGTTTCATATTGCGGTAAGAAGTTGCAATTGAACTGGGGGCCCCTCTGGAAACCATTTCATACAATATATACATTCATTAAAAAAAAGTATGGGTCTTCATTTGAAACTAAATAATATATTATGTATTTAAAATTTAAGAATCTCATATTGATATTGGTTTTTGTTTTTGTATTTATGATAGTAGAAACATAATGAATATACCACTCAGAGATACATGTACACATTTGTTTTGTCATTTTGTGTCTTTGTAATCTTCAATAAACATAAAATCTTAGATCCAAGCATCCACTTTTGTGTCATCATCATAGGTATAATCAATAAAGTTTGGTCAATGTATACTATTTCTATAACTTGGTGTGAATACAAACCAAACCTCCACTGGTCCTTCACAATACACTACGGGTTCCTTTACAATACACTACGGGTTCCTCCACAATACACTACGGGTTCCTTTACAATACACTACGGGTTCCTTCACAATACACTACGGGTTCCTTTACAATACACTACGGGTTCCTTTACAATACACTACGGATTCCTTTACAATACACTACAGGTTCCTTTACAATACACTGGGTTCCTTTATAATACACTGGGTTCCTTTACAATACACTATGGATTCCTTTACAATACACTACGGGTTCCTTTACAATACACTACGGGTTCCTTTACAATACACTACGTGTTCCTTTACAATACACTACTGATTCCTTTACAATACACCACGGGTTCCTTTACAATACACTACAGTATTGGATCTTATAACAAATATACGTAGCATCTATCAGGGGTAATGTTTTGCTGTTATCTCATTCTATTCCCTGGTGAATACAGGAAGTTTTGAGTGCATCTCACTGATTGATAAGGGTGAAAGGTTACTGAAATGTGAATTCTTATATTATACTGTCAGATTCGACATTGTAGTGTATTGGTACTGGAATGAAGTGATATCAATCAGATTGTTTTTACTTTGCAAAATATTACATTTCATAAATTGTAACAGGGTGATGATGGAAAGGCCATGTGAAAATTTGACACCTGAAACCCAAATGTTAAGTAGGAGTAATACAAACCTCAACTTTAACTCTGAATCATTTCTATAGACACCATGCATGAAACTCCAAGGGTTAGGCTCACGTACATTCTCTGCACCCTTGGAATATATTATAGCAATTGCCTGGCTTTAAGTATGTACTCTTCTGAGGTTTCAGTCACGTTCAACTCTCGTTTTGATCTGGTGTAACGGGTTTTTGTAATATTTAACAAATTATGATAGGTTTAATAGCAAACACACATATGAACAAGAGGCCCAATGGGCCTGCATCGCTCACCTGTTATTAATCTAACACTTGTAATCTTAAGATTTCATAATAACCTATTAAAAGATTTAAACATATGACGCCTCTGACCAAGCTTGATTGTTGAACAAGGACATTAGGTTGAAAGTGGATCAAGGTCATTCATTTGAATTACATGGTAGCCCTCCATCCCAGCATGTTACAGGCCCAAAATCAGTACCCTGGGCCTTTTGGTTATTGAGAAGAAGTCGCTTGAAGATTTTACATTTGACCCCTGTGACCTCGAAAGTTGGTCAAGGTCATTCATTTGAATAAACTTGATAGTCCTTTATCCCAGCATGCTACAGGCCCAATATCAGTACCCTGGGCCTTTTGGTTATTGAGAAGAAGTTGTTTGAAGATTTTAAAGACATCTGACCACAATGACCTTGAAAGTTGGTCAAGGTCATTCATTTGAACAAACTTGGTAGCACTTTATCCCAGCATGCTACAGGCCTAATAACAGTACCCTGGGCCTTTTGGTTATTGAGAAGAAGTTGTTTGAAGATTTTAACATATTTCAACCCCTGTGACCTTGAAAGTGGGTCAAGGTCATTTATTTGAACAAACTTGGTAGCCCTCCATCCCAGCATGTTACAGGCCCAAAATCAGTACCCTGGGGCATTTGGTTATTGAGAAGAAGTTGTTTAAAGCAAAAAGTTGACGCCGGACAGACGGACACCGGACAGACGGACGGACGACGGATGCCGCACCCTATTCATAACAATGGTGTGACGTCACTTCAACAATACAATGACGTCACGTCAACAATCCATCAACGACACGTCAACCCTGACACATGTAACGTTGTCATTACATTGTGTATATGATACACATTGGAAGAACAGGGTAAGATAAAAAGAATCATTCACCCCATTGTGGGTAAGATAGAGGAATCTAAACCCTCGGGAAAAGATTCTTCAGTGGCCAAACACTCAGAAAGCCTCGTGTTTGGCAACTTAAGAATCCTCCCCCTCGGGTTGAGATTCTCCTATCTCACCCCCAAGGGGGTGAAAGATTCTATTAGTATTTGGCTGTTTTGAACCCGTTGATATTTAATTTTCAAACTCAAACTTTTATCATTATCGGTTCAATTCGAATGAATGTCACTTTGTAAATTCCTGACGGTTAATAGTATCACGCAACTTCGACTCTTTGCGGTACACAAACTTGCTAACTTCGCCCCTTAACTCGTGTCGTTTTGACACATTCCTACGGACAAGATTGAAGAGTTCAGCAAGATTTTACCCAAGAACGACATTTTAACCACAGAGTAATAAATCCGATGCAATTCTTCACTTTCCCGATACGTGGTATTTATCAATTTACAATGTAACGTCCTGAAAAGTTGAGCCTACTTTACTCGAGTTCATGTATCCGATTCTATAGTACTATATGACTTAAACTTGCAACTTTTCGTAATTGTTAAATTGGCAATGCGATCAGGGATTATTCAACGAAATTTATCAGTTGTATTGCTGTTAGCATATATCAAAACATTTCTGAAAATCCTCGAAAATATTACGAGAAATGGTCGCGACCAAGGACTGGTTTTGGATTGTGCTTGAGTATCATGTACACCCCTTTCTTTACACTTCATTTTCCCTTAAAAAAGTGTGCACTATACGCAAATATTAACGGTAGTCGTTGGTCAGACATAACATATTTAAATCAGTCAATAGCAATTTATAATACGACAGTTTACCCCTTCGGGAACCTCAAAGGTGCCTGATTCATACTCAGAACATCTATAGGTTATATGTAATTCCCGTGGGGAATTTGGAACGCCTTTAGGTTTTATGCTATTCCTGTTTAAAAGGGAAATCGATATCCGAGTTATCCAACAGCTTGTTATTAGCGCCTGGTATATTCCGACAGAAGCAAGATATACAACAGCCCTCCTAACAGAGGTCAAAATCTGGGGTTCCCCCAGGGGTGACTAAAAAGTGGAAAGTTATATCTTATTGGTATTTTTTTTTTACATATTAGGGTTCCTGAAGCACTTTTGATTTTTGACCCCGAAAAAGGTGAAAGATAACACAAATAATAATGGGACAAAAAAAGAAGCACTGTTTTAGAAAGAGAAACACATTTTCTTTTGATTCATTGAATACTAAAAAAAGTTTAATACAGGATTTTTTTATATCAAGCATTTAATCTGCAAAAAATGGTGAAAAAATGTGCATTTTTTCATTAAAAAATAAGGGGTAGGGGTAATTATAATCGCCTTTCTGAGTAAAATGAATAAGATTAAGAAATTTAAATTCCATAATTTAAAAGAAATAGTATTTTTATCAATTCTACAAACATTCATACATATCTGATAACACACTTGGAAGAAATTGTATGAATTTGTTCTGCAAATGGTCAAAACTCAAAAATTCACCTAAAATCACATATTGTGTTAAATTGGTATCTTTGACCGATCATAGCACAAACACGAAAGCACAGACACATAATTTATTTTGCATTTTCTACTATGCCATTATCTCCTTTTTCCAAAAATCAATATAAGAAAAAAAGTTTAATACAGGAATTGTTTGACTTCTCAGAGGTGTACATCCTTAATTTGAAGTCTGGTGTAATTTCTGCCTCTGTATTTTTCAAAGGACAGGTATCAGCCCAGCAATAAGTCAAGATGTTAACCAATGCAGATCAAATAGCTTGCCCTGTGCCTTCAATTTTTCTATGACATATTCCAGGAGTGTAGAGAGAAAAAGTGAGCGTAACCCTTGTAGTATTGAGGATGCATAGACACAAGTGAACACCAAAGACATAAGTTAAGGCCAACTAAATTTTACTTCGAGTTGATGCTTGACAAGCAATACAAACAGTTATATGATAATCCAATGCATAAATAATTGTATGTACACTTTTCGAGATCTTCAATCTTTGTTGATGTAACTTTTGAGAAACAACTTCAAACCTACTATGAATTCTAACATTTAAGTGTAAAGATTTGTTTACTGTCCATGTGCTCATGATCAGGGAGGTGTGCAGGAAGTAGAAATCTTCTTGTACAAGGTTGCTGTTACTCCTGCACTCACACTTTAGACTTGAAAAGTCAAATTAATATCATCATTTTTACAGAAGCAGAATTATTTACAATTCCAAGTTTAAAGACTATAAGTAATCATCACATGCTTCAATAGGTATCTGTTTAACAGTAATACTAATCCCACTTTGATGTCCGCTCTCGTCGAACCAAATGGCCCTCTTCATCCATGGCATTGTACATCTTCTGATTATCCTTGGTGTCTCTATATCTCATATATGTTATGTAACCAACGGCACTAAGGAATAAACTGGCACCCAGTATCATGGTGAGAGCGTTCTAGGGAAGAAAAATGTAAGATTCAATTAATAGTGCAGAAGTCATGATAATCCTCAGAAATATTAAGTATAAAGCTAAAAATAAAAATATATGTTAAAAGCGGTATCTTGTTACTATGTGACCTGCTTGACAATACATGAGGATATTATAGATGTTTGGCCAATGTCTGTTAACTGCAAATAAATTACAGAAGTTTGTCTGGAAAACATGACAATGTATAACTCATTGAGAAACACGTAAATGTGCAGGTTTTTTTTTACCCCCCGCTTTCACTGAAACGGGGGATATTAATTTGGGTCTGTCTGTCCGTCTGTCATGCTTCGTTTCCGTGCAATAACTACAACAAATATTAACTGATTTTCTTCAAACTTGGTTACAGGCTTAAATGCCATAATTATAAGGGCTCGGCCAACTTCGATGACCACTTTCAGCAGACGTCATTTGGCAGAGTTATGGCCCCTTGAATAATGAAAAATGTCATTATCTGCCGCGCTTCGTTTCCGTGCAATAAAAACAACAAATGTTAATCGATTTTCTTCAAACTTGGTCACAGGGTTAAATGCCTTTTGTTACATGCAACTGACATATACAGTCTGTGGGTAACTTCAGACCAAATTTGGTAACTTGAAAAACAAGACATTTTAACATCTCTTAAACGCTTCTCAAGATATTGTTGTTTGAAATTTGAAATTGTAATTTTAAAGCTTTTAACCCATATTGACCTTTGACTCCGGCTAGCACTTAAAATTAACATTTGACCTCATTACTGTAATTAAGAAAAAGATTTGCACTGCTGGTCTACATAACAAATCGTAGTATCATGACTAAACCAAATGCTTCTTGGGATATCATCGTTTAAACTTTTTTACATTGTTGACTCCTGTGAACTTGAAAGTAGGTCAAGGTCATTTTAAAGAGGAAACTTTATAGCACTCTATCCCTGGTACCTAATGGCCAAATATCATGACCCTGGGCCTTATGGAACTTGAGAAGAATATTGTTAAAGCTTTTAACCCATTTTGACCCCCAACTAGCACTTAAAGTTGACCTTAAACCTCATTACTGTGAATAAGAAAAAAATTGCACTGCTGGTCTATATAACATACTCAAGTATCATGACTAGTCCAAATGGTTAGGCTATTGTTGTTTTAAATTTTTAACATATTTGACCCCAGTGACCTTGAAAGTAGCTATATAGGTCAAGGTCGTTTTAATGAGGAAACTTTATAGCACTGCATCCCAGGTACCTACTGGCCAAATATCCTGACCCTAGGTCCTACAGGTTTTCAGTAGAAGTCATTCAAAAGAAAAAGTTGACCGACGGACGATGGACGGACGACAGACATACAAAACAAAAACACATTGTTTTCCTCTTAGCCATCATCATCATTTTTTTACATTCCTTTATTGCTATATTAAAGAAAACAACAGATACTGACATAACATACACAAAATCCACACAGATATAGACAGGCATTGAGATAGAGAGACAGACACACAGACAGAAAGATAGAGATGTCAGACTTTCCGAGTAAAGGTCCGATTGATATATGTGATACTTATGATAATATAAAGATAACTCATAGCAAAATGCAAGTGGTTGATGAAATGGCAATTAACAATTTAAGGACTGTATTTAGTATTTAAGAGAGAGACAGGAAAAAAAAGAAACAAAATCAATTTTTAGTCAAGTTCAACTACTTTTATCCATTTTCGCATTCATTAGTAAACTTATTGAGATATTTTCCCCCTTTACCATAAGCAATATATTTCTGAACATTGTAATATTCTTTAATCAAATTTACTAGAGCCATAACATTAAGTGAGCATAACATCTAGTTTTGTACATATAATGCTTAATAAAAAGAATAATTTCATTGTCAATCTATTAAAAAATCCTGCTTGCTCTATACATCCAAAAAAAAAAATTTCTTTATTCATTGAAAAGGGAATGGCAAGTGCATATAAGAGATTTTCAAAATTTGGCAAAAAAATTTGTACTTCAGTGCAATCCCATAGGATATGAATAAGTGTCCCCCTTTCTATAAAACATAAAACACAGAGAGGGCTATTTGTTAGTCCAATCTTAAATAAATATGAATTTGTTGTTAAAATGTAATGATTTATTCTAAATTGTAACCATTGTAACTTTGTGTTATTTGTTACCCTGAATGGAACCTTATTATTATCAAAAACAGCTAGTTCCCCTTTTATTTTGTCCTGTTACAGTGATATTATTTTGAATAAGAACTTTAAAGAACTCCTGTGACCCTTTTTTATTTCTTAATATAACTTCAAGATTTTCATGGTATGATTGGGTTACTCAACATCTTGTTGGGTACGTTGTGATTTTGAAGGTATTTCTTTATGCTCATTATCACTCCTTGATACTGAAGATAATAATTAGTTATTGAACCATTAATAGCACAAAATACATCGAAAGAGAAAAAGGAACAAGTTCTAATATCTTTAACTAAATCACCTTATTGAACCAATTTCTATAGAAAATGTCATTATTTCCAATAGTTATGTTTTTGTTATTATACCATATGGGTGTCTTAAATAAGGAATGATCCTCCTTTTTATTCATTTCTACTTTAGTGCTTAGTCTATGCCATGCCTTCAAAACATCCTTCCAAAAAATATTTTTACAATTAGTCCCAATCTTAATTAAATACCCACTACCACAATTTGCTAAGACATTAAAGTTAACTTGGTTTTTTAAAATCATACGCCATTTTCCCTCTGACCAAAATATTCTTCTGATCCAACTGATTTTTTAAAGATTCAATAAAACTCAATATGTTTACCATTTTAAGCCCCCCCATCTAAATAATTCTGAATAATTATCTCACGCTTAACTTTGTCATTTTTACCATTCCATAAAAAATTGAAAAGAATTCACTTTAGCTGTTTTATGAAACTTTGATCTGGATTTGGTAAGGAGATAAAAAGATGATTCAACTGTGAAATTAATAAAGACTTAATTATGTTAATTCTCCCAATAGGAGTAAGATTTCTTTTACTCCATCCCATGATTAAAGATTTAAGTTTAACTAGGTTTTTTTTATCAAAATTGGGAATTCTGTGTAAATCCACATTAAATTCAATACCAAGAAGTGTAAACTTATCAACCCCCATTGAAAATATTTGGAAGAAGTACGTACATCACTACTTTACTTTTTGCTACCTATCCTTAAAACTTGAGTTTTTCCTGTAGTTACTTTTAGACCAGAAATTTTAGCATACAAATTTAGTTCCTTAACAGATCCCTTCAAAGATTTTTCTGTTCCATAAAGTATTTTTAAAGAAGTGTCATCTGCATATTGAGAATTTAGAATCTGACAGTCATCAATATTGATACCAGTAATATTTTTATAATTTCTTATCCGAATTGCAAATATCTCGGCACAAAGTATAACAAGAGTACCGCGAGGCGGAACAAAATACGCCCGTCGAATGCCTTATAGTGTTATATACTTTCTTACATTAAAATAAGATCTGCATCATTCTAAGAGTGGTTAGCTGATATGCTATAACAAGAGGCCCATGGGCCTTAACGGTCACCTGATATATTTATACAGAGAGTTGATTTTGTTTTTAACATGAACAGAAATATTATTCAAAGTGACAAAAAACAATAAATCCACCTTATTCAATATCTAGCATACAGATTTCATACTAAAAAGGATTTGAAACTAGCACCTCTGATTCTTAACAAGGAAAATGAAGAAATTTTAGCACACTGACTCCTTTGAGCCCCACCCTACAGCCCTTGGGGGTAGGGCTGGTTCAATATTTTTTTAAGTATCAAACTGTCAATTTAAGGTTATAATTCCAATCAAGTTCTTAACATGTAATATTCAAAGTATCATTTGCCATTATAAACCAT